GAAAGAAAGAAAGAAAGAAAGAAAGAAAGAAAGAAAGAAAGAAAGAAAGATGGGAGGGAGAGAAGGAGGAAGAAAGACAAAATTTTAAAAACTTGGTTCCTCATCTTTGTGCGTGGCCTCCACAGATATTAAGTCAGTCACTTCTCCTTGCTTAGGGGTAGATTGCAATATCTAGGACTCAGTTTTCTCCTTGGAGGCATAAGGAAGCAATAACAGGTGACCCAAAAGGTCACTGCCAACCCAAGACTCCAAGACACCCTGATTCAGGAGATCAAAGAAGTCCAATATTGTCCAGCTCAGGGAACTAGATCACATTCTCTGGTGGGGAGGGGCCCCAGACTGGAAGAGCAGGAGCAGTCAGTAGGCCACAGCCCCAGGAGGTGAGAAGAAAAGCCAGTCTCATCTGGGAGAGCCTGCCTGACTTTTGTCAAGTGTTGAATTCCTACATGTGAGGAAAGCACGGGGCTAGGGCTGAGAGACCCTGTCTCCCCTAGACCTGCCCTTCAGCCCTCCTCTCTCTTCTTCCCCCAAGTCTAACACCCCCTACTCTGCATTAACTCTAGATTCTTGTGCCTGCTAAGCACACACTACTGAGCAATAGCTATCTTCATGGGCCTGCAGGTGTGTGTGTGGAGGAAGGTCTCTCACTCCTCAGCAGAGGTCCAGTCTGCTCCAGACATCAAGCCCTGGAGAGAAGCCCACCCCCTGCACCCCTCCCGGCTGTCCCCTTCCCACCTGGCTTCTCACCTGGGGGTTGTCCATGTACCAGAGGAGGCAGTTGGCCTGGGTGTCCAGGATAAAGTACCTCCGAAGGAACTTGCCGCTGTTCTCATTGTCCTCGATATCCAGAAACCCACAGATTCGGTTCTGCCGGTCCACATAAGGCATTCCTGAGCTCTGCTCACATCACCCTGCACAACAGAAGAAGAGTCTGGTGAGAAGGAGGGGCGAGCAGGCTCTGTCTGACCACCTGGATTCGCCTCACCTGTCCCTGCGACACGCTGGGCTCCCTGCCACCAGCTCCCTTCCCTGGGTACCAAGTGTCTAAGCCCACTGGACCCTGGGAACCATTACTAACTCTGAAAAGTCATCGAAAGCCATGGGAATCGACTCAGCTTAATTTCCTGAGGCCCTACTGTGTGCTGAGCACAGTGTCCTAGAGAATGTGAGCTGGGTTGCACAAGAGTGCGCGCATGCCTCAAGGGCACCGATTTAGCCAGCATTCTCACTGTGCCACAGTTCACCCTTCTGCACCCCAACTTCCACACCTGTGAAATGGGAACGATCATGCTACCACACCTTGCTTTGAGGTAAGGTGAAGGCATACAAGAGGCACTGCCTGGGCCTTGGTTACTGCTCTGTACAAAGCCTCCAGAAGTGGAGATGAACTCGAGGAAGATGACACCTCAACAAAACTTAGCCAGGAACTTAGACATAAAGGAGCCAGAGTACCCAGGGATTAAATGCTACTGTGATGGATTCCTGGAAAAGCCATCTTTTAGTGAAGGAAAAAGACCTGAAAAAATTCCCTGATCGTGGACTTCTGGCCTCCAGACGGTAAGGAAATTAATTTCCACTGTTTAAGCTCTCAGGCTGTGGTACTTTACCATGACAACCTGAGCTCACTCCTACAGCTACCAAATGCCTACAGATTTGATCTAGCATATCAGCAAGATGCATTCCTGCATGCTGCTCACATCATGGGTGGGTGGGGGTACTAATGAGGAAGAGGATGAAGCAGACTTTATCTCAGGACCAAATAAGCCTCCCCTGGCTTGACTCATTTCAGTTCCCTGCTGGCAATGAACAGAAAGTAGCAAGGAAGAGCAAGTCCCAATCGCTGGGCACCTTCCCTGACTCCAAAGCAAGGCCTCAGGCAATGTGAAAATAGTTACATGTCCTGGCTACTTCATAGCTCCAGAATGCACTCTAAGAGCCTGTAGGAAAGGAAAAGTTAAGAGTCCCAAAGCCTCCAGAGGAGAGAAACGGCCAAGGCACCTGGCCTGGACTCTCGAACTGTGAGGAAGTAGGATAGAAGCCACATCGACATCAGACTTCCAAAGCCAGATAACATCCAACCAGTGAGCCCTGACTCACTTGAACAGAGCCAGAATCACAGTGACCCAGCCACCGAGGCCCCGCAGCCAAGCAAAAGTGTGAGGTGGCTGACGAAGGCGCCCTCTGACCCGACACTGACTCAGAGAAACTACTACCCTAGTTTTCCAAGCCCAGAGGGGACAAGTCCCAGGAAGCAAGGGGACACATTTCCAGGTCAGGCTGGTGGGGTGGAGTGTTCTCTCCCACTCCAATGAGCCTACAGCACTGAGAGGGTACACCAAGAAACCAGTGCTACATATATGTGCGCACGCGCATACACACCTGTAACAGTGAACCCTATGGTTCACTGTGCAGGCATATGCTGGCTGAATTCCCCAGTGGGACAGAAGCTTCGGACAACCAGAGGTCTCACGGTAGGGACCAGAAGAATAAAGTGGACACAAAGATAGAGCAACCCAGCAGAGCCAAAAAGGAAGCAGAAGCGGAGGTGAGAAAGGGATCTCAAGTAGGAAGAAGAGGTTTTAAAAAGGAAGCTGTGTGACAGAAGTGAGGACTGTGGAGGGGTGGAGGAGGGGTGTCCGGCACAAAGTGACGTCACCTACTTTAGGAGTGTTACCTAGCTCTGGTCTCGATGTGGAGCAAGTCAGAGTTCAGAGAAATGAAAAGGTCAAGTGCTAGGAGATGTTTTCAGGAGTCCCGCTAGCACACACTGGGTCAGGGGTAGAAGGCCAGAAAGGCTGTGATGGCTGGGAAAATATGCAGCCTGTTCAAGGAGCCTTGAGTAGAAAGGCAAAGCCACTGAGTATGGAAAGGTACAGAGCCCTCAGGTGAGGACAGGGAGGACACTAATCCGCCCCCCCTCCAAAAAAAAAAACCCAAAAAACTAGGCAAGTTTCCTAGAGGCCAACATAGCTCCTGAAGCAGAAACTCCAGAGGCCACAGGGCTTTGGCTATTCCAGTGAAACCTCTAACCATTCCCATCCAAAACAGGGTCTTACTGCGTATCCCTGGCTCGCCCAAGCTGGCCCCTAGTTCTTGGTGATCTTCCTGCCTCAGCCTACCTAGTGCTGGGCTTACATGCCTATTCCACCATGCCTAGATATCCGGTGTAACCGAGACTAGAACACACACACAGTTGCCCTGAAGAACAAAGCTGGCTGGCTCAGGGCCAGTGGGGTATCACAGTGTCCGAGAATGCTGGCTTCAGAAGTTCCCCTTTTCGGCCTGCAAGATTTACCAGTGCCGGCTTCTCCCTCGAGATGGACGCGCGCCTCAGGAGGCCTAAGGCAGCTGAGTCACACAGCTCATCCAGACTGTGGGAAGGAGGCAGGGATCCACGATACAGAAATGGCACAGTATGGAAACGCTCCCCTTGTTCATCAACACTGTCTTTATAATGGCTTCAGAACAGTAAATGTATTGGTTACAGTGTGCTTTACCTAATCACTTCTCTAGCACTAAACAACTAAGTCTAGAGCCAGCCTTTTGCTATTATAAATAATACCAAAACTTCGAGTTTTATGCATTCTTCTTTGACGTGGAAGAGAGGGTACGTTAAAGACAGTAATACCAGGAATAGAGAAAATGGTCGTGGTTAAGTGTGCTTGCTTTCCAACACAGACATGGCAGTTCACAACTGTCCAGGCACCTCATGATGCATCATACATGCAGGCAAAACACACTTTAGTACACATAGAGCAAAAGCAAATAAGTTTTTTTTAAGGGTAATGTGATTAGAACATAGACTATACAATTACTTATCACTATTGAGACCTATTATAAAATTACTGTCTGAAAATACTTGTTGCAACTAATAAAGTCAATTAATTCTTAGACATTAGACCTTTTTTTTTTTTTTTTTTTTTTTTTTTAAAGACAGAGTCTTACTGTGGTAGCCTTGGCTGAGCTGGAATTCACGATGAAAACCTCTTCCTGCCTCTGCTGGGATTGAAGTCCTACACAACCATAACTGGCTCTGAAGTTCTCGCTACTTGAAAACTGCTCCAAATCTGACGGGTGAGGGTGAATGTTTAAATTTCTTATTTCATGTGCTTTAAACTTTTAACCAGCCCCCCCCCCCCGCACCGCCAGCCCCTCCTCCCTCAGACCCCACCCATCCGCCGGTCTCAGCTCCAGAGCAGCAGGCCTTCCTAAGAGGAAGTTTCGTGATGATCCAGATGTCCTGGCTAAAATTTAAGTTGTAAGCATTGCCATGAATGAAAAGAAGTTATATATCTCATTAGGATAAGATGTGGCTCATGCTGGGAGGCAGAAGCAGGCAGATCTCTGGGCATTCGAGGCCAGCCTCGTTTATGTAGTGAGTTCCAGTTGAGTCAGAGCTACAGAGTGAGACCCTGAATTTAAACTTAGAGAAAGTGAGTTGCCTGAGGTGACCTAATAAACAGCAGCAGGAAGTGCGCTAAATCAACCGGAACTCCCGACCAGGGTTTGCTAGGCGATGAGAAACACTCATGATAGTCCAAGGCTGCCCATTTCATCCTGTAATGAGAGGCCCTCAGAGGTCCCTACCCCCAAATAGTTCTTTGACCACTGGATATGCAAACCCAGAAATTTCTAACTTTACTGGGCCTGTGGCTACAACAAGAGCCTTAAGAAAGTAGGCCACACCCCTCATGGGAGACGGAAACACCAGGAAGGCTAAAATATAAACAGAAGCCTCAGCTCCAAACAAGTGCCATTCCTTTGGGTGGGTGAGGGGTGGAGAGGGACCTAGGATTCTTAGACTCCTGGGATCTTTCTGAAAAGCAGTTTGGCAGTATGTAACATGATAGCTAAAAATGTTCCTGCCCTTTGACCTAGTACTTCTAGTTTTAGGATTCTATCCAAATAAACGGAAGTAGAAAGCTGAAAGCTGCAAACTTATAAAGGCAATGTAAAAAAGTTGAAAATGACCCAACTAGCCTAATGATCAAGTAATAATTCACTTTGGAGTGTCTTTCTCAAATGCTCTCTACCTCAATTTTTGAGACAGGGTCTCTCTCTGAAGCTGGACCTCATCATTTCAGCTAGGAAAAGCTGGGATCTGCCTGTCTACACACACACACACACACACACACAGTGCTGGGATTACCCCACCTCCACACTGGTTATTTATAAGGGTGTTCAGGGTCTGAATTCACACTTGCACAGCAAACTCCTGGGCCATCTCCCCAGCCCTGTTTTCAAGTAATTTCTAATGAACTTTAGAAACCTACTATATCAAGTTTTTCAAAGATATTAAATGTTGTGTAATATGACCTCAATTGTGTCATTTTTATTCCTATCCTATATGCAGGTTTTTTAAAGGTCAGGTTTATCGTCACCAAAATATTAAGTTATTGTCTACAATAGAGGAATCCTGTATATATCTGCCTACGTTTTCCGTAAATACGTGCTAGTTTAGTTACAGAGGAGAAAGTTAGGTGATTCCCCAAATACTCCCATGAGCAGGACTTGAGTTTCTCAATTCTCTGTAGTCCATAAACATAGCTTCTGCTATAATCAGCTCTCTTGCAGCTTTTTGGTGTTTCATGGACTCTAGTCTAACAAATCAGTATCTCAATCACCCAAAGCCAGACATCAGCTCTAAGGGTTGCTCTCTCCCTCCACCCTTCTTGAGTTTCTGGTTTCCTACTGCCTGGGACTCTTAGAGATTCATCCTACCCTTGCTGGTTTGTTCTTTAGTTTTCCTAAGAGGGTCAACATCTTTGGTTCTAAGCAAACACTAAGGCCTACATCTTTGCCTCAATATCTGTGACTGCTCTGCTGAAGAAAGGAACTGGAAAGCCTCGTAAGAGGCCTTAAGGAAGTCAGGTATGTGGTAGCTCACAACCACAGTCCCAGAAGTTGAGGA